CTGCTCAAACAAATGAAGTCCATTTTTGTCAAACCCAAAGAAGGTCGGAAGAAAGCATCAATTTATTCTTCACAAAAGCATCACCTAGGTTCAAACCATACAATTTTGCACTCATACTCAAATACGGGCTGTCAATCATCTTAACACGACATGCATGAATCAGTGATGGAGTAAATTTTAAAAAGTCTTTCATACGAATAAAGATCCACTGGCACTCAAATCTAATACAGCCTAAATCTGAAGTCAATATATGGAGATCCCACAATGTCTCTTCTTTTAACCCAGAACTCTGCTGGGCGTCTCTGAGAATTACTGGATGTATGTAGAATTGTTGTAGAGAGGGATGACTTGACAAGCAACACTTATGATGACATTCAAATATATATATTAGGGCTAGGACTAGATTAGTCTTGTAATTGTTTAATCACATTTTAATCACATATAAATATTTGACCTGGAAACTGAGATTTGTAGTATACTGTACAGATGCTCAAGCAACAAACTATTTATTTAGTTCAACCAAGTCCAATAACCAGTGCTATTTTTGCCATTAAATGTGAAAATGGCATATTCAGAAATATATATATATATATATATATATATATACAGTGCCTTGCGAAAGTATTCGGCACCCTTGAACCTTTCAACATTTCGCCATATTTCAGGCTTCAAACATAAAGATATAAAATTTTATTTTTTTTGTCATGAATCAACAACAAGTGGGACACAATCGTGAAGTGGAACGAGATTTATTGGATAATTAAAAAATTTTAACAAATAAAAAACTGAAAAGTGGGGCGTGCAATATTATTCGGCCCCTTTACTTTCAGTGCAGCAAACTCAGTCCAGAATACTGGACTGAGTTGGCTGGGGCCGAATACTTTTGCAACGCACTGTACATATAGGACAAAGGGCAGAGGACAGCCGTGGTGGTGGACGTGGCAATTCCAAGCAATGGTAACATCCGGAAAAAGGAACATGAAAAGCTTGAGAAATACCAAGGTCTCAGAGAGGAGCTGGAGAGGGCCTGGAGGGTAAAGGTGACAGTAGTGCCCGTGGTGATCGGTGCACTCGGGGCAGTGACCCCTAAGCTAGAAGAGTGGTTACAGCAGATCCCTGGAACAACCTCGGACATCTCGGTCCAGAAATGTGCAGTGCTAGAACAGCAAAGATACTGCGCAGAACCCTCAAGTAGGGCTGGGCAAAAAATCGATTTAATCGATTTATCGATTTTGTAGCTTAAAAGGATTTTTATTTTGCAAACTCGAGTTTTTTTTTCACCAAATTTTTTTTCTGAGTTTTTTGCGTTTCGTCCTTGTGGGTTACCGTAGAGCGTTATGAGCCAGCCCCCTCCGCCGCGTAAACACAGTCAAAACAAGAATGGCAGCGTGTAGTAGAGCAGGGGTTCCCAAAGTCTTTAGCCCGCGACCCCCATCATAAATGCCCTGCTAACCCTCCTCAGCAGAAGTGGAGCGCATTTCTTGCGGCTCGCCCTCACTGTTCTCCTACCGCGGTAAAGTGGGCCGGCTTTCCGGAGTCAGCGGTAAAGAGGTCCGCACATTAAAAGCGGGCGGCCGCTTTCTGCTGTTACTTTATGCGGTTCATCCCCGCGGCTTCTCTTTCCAAAGTTACTGTCAGTAAAGGCATAGACCGGCCACCCGCTTTTAATGTGCGGACCTCTTTACCTTTGACTCCGAAAAGCCGGGCCTCTTTAACGCGCTGTTCTACCGCTGTCCTTTCTCCCTCCTTTGCCCTCTCTCCCTCTCTTCGCACCATCAGCCTGACCCCTGATACAAGTGACTTTTCTCTCCCTCCGCTGCCCTCTCTCCCTCCTCTGCCCTCTCTCCCTCCGCTGCCCTCTCTCCCTCCTCTGCCCTCTCTCCCTCCGCTGCCCTCTCTCCCTCCGCTGCCCTCTCTCCCTCCGCTGCCCTCTCTCCCTCCGCTGGCCTCTCTTCCTCCGCTGCCCTCTCTCCCTCCTCTGCCCTCTCTCCCTCTCTTCGCACCATCAGCCTGACCCCTGATACAAGTGACTTTTCTCCCCCTCCGGGTTTTTCTGTTGTGGATATTAACCACGTTTCATTTTAAAGCAGGTATTATTTATTTGTAGCCTCCAAACACCTTTAGTTTTAGCAAACAACAGTAGGACACGCTTTGTCGCTGCGCATGATGTGAGCTGTGTTACGTGATGATTTTGATTGACGCTGCAATGACTGGGACAAAATTACTAACGTTATTAAAATATATTATAGTCTCCAAACACAATTTAACAAGTAGTCCTTTTGAATCAAATCAAATGCTAAATAAATATTTAAGGGCTTTATATTTGCTCAAAAAAAAAAAAAATCTTTTTTTTTTGTTTGTGTAGAAATCATCATGCGACCCCCCCAGGGGTTCCCGCGACCCCCCGGGGGGGTTTTAACAGGGGGGGCTTGTTAAAAGTATTAGATGCGAGGTACAGTACGTTGTCCCCAGTCGCAAGTATTTCGCCGATGTAGCGCTGCCTCACCTGTACAATACAACTCGTGAAAAGATCCGCGGTGAGCTGGGGGAGATGACGTTTTACTCAGCCACCACGGACCTGTGGTTGTGGACAGGCTCATCTTTCTTGCAAAAAATGCTTAGAATGAGCATGCACAATATTTCAGAGATCTAATGTTTTGTTGTTAAAGATAAAAGTTTACATTTGTTTATCCTTTGATAAGTAGTTAGTTAGTAGCTATATGTCTGCCACAGGCATGTTTAATTTTTTTTATATTCACATTATGCTGAGAGGCTAAGAGAAGAGTTTATTTTATTTTTTATTGTAATGTTATATGTTACAAAATATGTAGTTATCTGATTTCTTAATCAGAAAATTTAAGCTACTGTGAAGTTGATGTTGCACTTTTGCTTAAACCTGGGTTAAAGCTTGAAATTGTTGAATAACAGAGCCTCATTTACTTGCATTTTAACTCTTGAGGACAATCACAGCAATAAATTTGCACTTTTGACAATATATCTGATGTCTCCAGTCATTTTTAAGTGCATTGGGGAAAAAAAATCGAAAATCGAATCGAAACTTGAATTTTTCTTTTAAAAATCGGAGATTTTTTTTTTAGGCAAAATCGCCCAGCCCTACCCTCAAGCTCCCAGGCCTCTGGTAGAGGACCCGAGCTTAGAGAGGGATAACTGCCCACGGAGGGCGAAAGGTGAGAATTTTTTTTTATATTCATGCATTGGTATACATACATACACACACACACCCATATATTCTCCTGGAGCCACATTCATCCATTTGCTCTAATACCATTTATATTTCTGGAAATTAGATCTGTTAGATGTGACCAGCTGACTGAGGCTACCTATGGGACTTTGATGAGGATTTCTCAATCTCCATAGGGGAGAGTGGGATTCATGGCGCTGTCCTCATCAGTACGCCTGTTGTGTCTCTGATAAAGGTGTGAGCAATAATGAAAGGCGAGGTATGCTTCACTTCAGCTGCTGCACGCGGCATGCTCTATGCGCTGCCTGTTTTTGATGCCACTCTGACATAAGCCACACGCACAGCGGAGAGCTCTGCCGCATGTGCAATCCTCTCTTTGTGCACCTCTGCATTCAGGCCATGAAACGGCCCAGATGTATGGGAAAGAATACAGGCTTGTGTGGTGGGTGTTTTCTGCTATGGTAATGAACCAAACTGAAGAATCCTGAGATGTCAGGCAGCAGCAGCCTTTGAATTCCTTTAAACTCATTTACAGGACAAAATAAAAAAAATAATAAACATAGATTTTGATAAATTAACAAAACTACAGACTAAAATCTTTCTATATACTGCCAATCTCTAATAATGTATGGTCATATATCAATTTTACTGTTTTACAACAACCTGCTGCTTCAACCTGGCACAATGCAGCTCTCATTTTGGCATCTCTCATGTTCATTGCATATCTGTCCATGTAAAAAAAGAAAATCAAACCACACCGTACCAAACTGGCTGAAATACATAAAAACTGCATTTTGTCTCTTGCCATTCTGACATTATGTGATGTGAATGTGATAGTATCTAAATGATGTTACAACTATTGTTACAGTAAAGGGATTTTGGATCATCGCAATTAGCTCCACATCAAAAAGCATCCACTTCATCTCACCTTATCCATAAAGACTTCTAAATAGTCTAGTTTGACTATTTATCAAGAAATGTTTCAACTGAGGGATAATGTGAGTTGCCTCCCAAAGCTATTAATAAGATCAGAAGTACATGATGGAATCTCATGAATAGTAAATATATCATAAATGTATAAATCTTTTAGTATCGCTGGAAGTATATAGAGTCGGGTTTGGAACATGTTAACTTAAACTCTCCCATGTATCACTAATCATGTTATTTCTACAAAGTAATAATTTAGTAGTAATAATTCCGTCTGCTTTAAATCAAATCAATGTTTTTTTAGATTGCCAAAAAAACAACAGCTCAAAAGGCGTCAAAGAATTGTTGATTTGCCAAAGGATTACACAATCACACAAACATAATTAAACCAATAAAACTGTCTATATGCATTGCTCAAAATACTTCCATAATGTACGTGTAGTGTAGTCATGAACGCAAAAACCATGTTTAATACATTTTTCGATTGCAAAAAGGACATTTACACCGTGGAGTTTTCTTATCCGGAGCAAAGCGGCTCTCCATTTCTTCTCCTACAGAGATTGTAAAGCTTGGGTCAAACCAGAGCATGTTGCAAGCCAGATGCTGTAGTAAAGGCTGTGCTGCTCCCTGCTGGGCTCCACCATAGCTTTATCTCATCAAATAACAACCAACTCTACGCTCTCTCATTCACTTTTTTATAACTTTTAAACTAAATTCTTCTATGATGTATACTCTTGGTCTTAATTCGAGGTCATTCTATAGTCAGGCCAATAGGAAGTATGCAGGAGTGAGAGGATGCCTGCTGATGATGCCTCTCTGAACATTGAACTTAACATTTCAGTGGGTTACATCAGGCTAGTGTTGTACTTACGCAGTGCGATCTTGGCCAAGTGCAGACGGTTGACCCAGGAGATCTTACTCAGAGGGGTTTGAGTGTTGAACACCACCATGAAGCTGACAGGGCGCCCTGACCTGGAAAACAATAGTTCAGAAGCTATGAGTTGAATTGATAATGTATAGACTAAATAAATAATGTGTGTGTTTCAACAATAGTGTTTTAGTTGAGAAAAATAATTACAAGGTGAGAATAAAACGCTATAGCAGAGGTGTTGGCTTTTTACTGAGAGGGCCACTTTAGTTGACCAGGCTTGTCCAGGGGCCAACAACCCAGATTTTAAAACAATTTTGACAAGGATTCATGGTGTTCTGAGCTTTGTGATCAGCTAGGAAGGAGCTGAAGTTGGCAGAATGATAAATGACCATTTCTCTAGCTTTTAGTAGACACACTCAAACACAAATGTCAGTATATAAAAACAAAGTCAACAGCTCATGCAGCAAACCCTCCTCCCCATCACCCTATCGTCGACCGGGCAAGCTCCTCCATCCTTCTTCAAACCACCGGGAAATTTCATCTCATAAATCTCATCTGAAATCACATTTCTCATGCAGCATACAATCAATCTTACCAATATTGTCTTCAGAGTCGTATGTGCTAATTTGTGCAGCGTCAGTTAAATTACCAACCAATTCTAATAAAGCCCTTGTTTTGTCTGTTTGAGTCTCTCCAATTTGGATTGAAATACTTATATTGGCAGAGCTGATGTTGGCTGGATGACACTATCAACTTGTGTTTATGAGCTCCAAGACTAATTTGGTTTAGCAAGGCAGAGGACCAAATAAAATGGCCCTCTGTTTGGCCATGCCTGCACTGTAGTGACAAAATGAATAGTTATAAAGATGTATTAGTTTAACTCATACTCTGACTCAATACAGCGAAAAGGAAATGTATCATTGCAGACAATAGCCCTTGCATCCACTGTCCAGATAAAGTAGAAAACCTATCTTAAGGCTGGTTCTGCACACCAGCACATAAAAAGGTACCGTCAAAAATTCTCAATCCCTGTTCTCTCTAACCATTTTAAAATCACTAAACAACTTTCCTGTAATTGCAATAACCTTGGTAAAACACAATCCTCACAAACTGGAAAGACAAAACAAAGATAACAAGACACCGCTGGCTAAATCCATTAGCGAATCATTGCTACCTCAACCCTCAAGGATAACTCTGGCCCCCATTTTAATATTCACACACAGATAATTCGAACACAGCAGTAATGACAACATAACAGACTCCCAGTAAACGCTTGCTGGTGTTGTATCATTTCAATTTTATAAAACAGTAAAGCAAAATAACATAAAATAAAAAATTAAATAATAAATAGTAATGAACAAAATAGAAAATCAACAGACACAGACAGACACACAAACACACACCCACACACACACAGACAGACACAGACAGACAGACAGACAGAAAGACACACACATACATTAGCATACTGCATTGTAAGTTAATTAGACGGAGTAAAACGTTGAAAATTGTCTGAGATATTTGAACAATTTTGATATACCCTCTATGTTTTGCCTGAATGGGTTTAAATAATATAACTATATATAAATACACGCAAATGAAATAAAAATAGATAATCCCAAAAAACTTTCCAACTTTAAATTCTAATAGTGTTTCATATTGCGGTATATTTTATTTTTCTCAAAAGATCCCCAGTAGGCTCGCAAATAACGACCTCAAAAACTAGGTCACAGTAGGAATCCATTATGACGGTAATGAATTCAAGCTGAGTGCACCTGCCATCCGCCACACAGGAGAACAGAAAAAATAAAGTTTACAAAGGCACCCGAATGCTTCAGGAGTACAACCCCAGTGTTAGTGTACTGGATTCTACAGCACACACTACATCCATAATGACCAATATCCAATGAGCGGATTGTTAATGAATAATACTGACTTGAAAAATAACTTTAAGAAGTCTATTGATTTCAAAAAGGGAAAGTTTAAGAAGGAATGTAAAGACGAGAGCTCTAATGATTACATCAAGTTTTTCAATAGACAAAATCTATTTGAGGAGGAGCTGTTAGGTTCTCCTCTGACTTATGGAGGCATTGGAGGTCCAGCCTGTACACCTGTTTTTAGTTTTATTGTATACGTATGTTTTTTTTTGTCTATGAACCAGTTTTTTCTGTGTTCTTAATAAAGAATGAATTGAAAATGAATTGAATTATTTTAGGAATTGGTTCTTTGTTTAGAGTTCAATTTAGAGACTCAACAGGTAAATGCTGTGAGACATGATTTTACACACAGAGCGATGCAATTACAGAAAAAAACGACTCATAATAAATAGAGTTATAAGTGAGGAATGAGAAACATTACACATAATTTAGCTTTGTCTGGAAATATTATCTTTTAGAATGCCCTCCAGCAGCTTCACTTAAATCTTTTCTTCCTCAAATATATTAAAAAAAAAGAAAAAAAGTGTAAGGTTAAACTGAGGGCAGGACCAAGCCTGTCCACTCTGTTTACCATTGACCAAATGGAGAGATACAGCTTCAAAGGAGCCATGGGGTCAGCCACAAGCCGCCATCAATCATGAGGATTACAGATGCCAAAAAGAGTAATAAAGTCACCACGGGGATAAGCACCTCTGTCTCTGCCTGCCTGTAGAGATCAAAGATCACACTCCCCTGCCCTCGCTCACAGACTCCTGCCACCGGACAATCAAAGACTCTCCCGCGGCGCTCTGACGCCCCCTTGTGAACAATGGACACTATCACACCCGGGACGGACAATTGCGAACCGGTACCCCTGGGTCCAGTACTCCAATAATCTGCATTGTGCCCCATATGTGTGTATCAATGTCAAAGTAATGAAATACGGTGTGTGTTTGTACATGTCTTATGATTATTAGCATCAATCCTGTGTGTTTCCTTTACAAACTGTCTGTTGTAAAAGGGGTCTGTCCACAGAGGGCAGGGGCGGCATGGACACGCCCCCTGGGAAGCCTATATGAGCACCCACACGCCATTGTTCTTTCTCTTGTTTTCCCCGAATCCACTATAACAACCACCCGTGGGTACGTGTTCCCTACACGGCCTGCGCTCGCAACCTCCCTCTCAGCCCTGCGGCCACGCAAGTACGCGCCTCCAGCAACGACTGTGCCGTCCGCCCCGAGGCCTCCCGCTTCCACGCAAGCCTCCTTTCTGGTTGGAATCTACGAACTGTTCATCACCAGCCTCTTTCCTTGGCTCGCGTGCACCAGCAGCTGGACCAAACTAGCAGGCTTCATAACTCCCGCCTGCCCGGACAAAGAAACCACGTGGGCTGTTTCCCAACCCAAAGCCCTTCTCCATCCTCTACGCTCCTCCAAAGTAAGACTGTTCCTTGTTCAGTGTTCAATTTGAATGAAATGTGTACAGCTCCTACTCAAATGTGACCAGAAATCCTTTTTCGTTATGCTTCATCCCACTTTGTAATCAATAAATCCCTTTTCTTTAACTCAATCCTATCAGAGTCGTGTTGTTAAGATCTCGGACTATCACTGGCCGATAAAAGTACTCACTACCTATTAGATTTATAGATTGATATCGAGGCAAAGATTTGGTTGGTGTCTATGAAGAAGATGACATAGTCTGGGATCGTGTCTTTAATTCAGACAGAAGACATGTTTTATTGTCGATGGTAGAGACAGCACGAACACGAACACACGATCACAGATACAAGAGAATGCAAGTGTATTATACAGAGCGGAGGCATGGACACCCCCAATCAGCAGCTGCCACGGTGCCATGTAGCTTGGCCTTCAGATAGACAAAACAAGGGAAGAGTACTGGCTTCTGCACATTGATAGAATGATGAGTTTAACTTTAACAAAAGTTGCTTCAAAGTGTTATGAAATCTCACATTCCCCCCTCTGGTCATACATTCACGTGTGACCATCAGGATCGATAAACAGCAACATAACATCATAACTCAATACTTCAAAAACTCAAACTCGGTACTTCAAAAAACTCAGAACTCGGAATACTTCAAAAACTCAGAAAACTAATAAAACATGTTCAGATCTTTCATAAAACTTGTCAACAATCTTCAGTAAAATACCAAACTTCATCAGTCGATGGTTCTCAGATATTGCTTTGAAAACAGTCTCTCCCACTTCTCCGTGTTGGTTTCTTCAGGCTGCATATGTCAGCATCTGTTGTGTCGAGCCATGAATTCTTCTGTGACGTGTCTTTCAATCACACGTTTCAGCTTTAGTGTCCAGATTCAGCAATTCAATTCAGTCCAAATTATGTCCAAATTCAGAAATCCAATTGTTCCAAATCATGTCCAAATTGTGTAATCCAATTGTTCCAAATTATGTCCAAATTGTGTAATCCAATTGTTCCATGCAAAAGAGGACGCTGGTGTTGTCCATGTCTCAGCAGCTCACTGCCTGAGTAGAATCAGGGGCTGTGCAGATTGTCCATGTGCTGATCCAGATGCATGGTTTCTCTTGAGGTTTCTCAGTTTTGGCTTAAAAAAAAAAAACACTTTTTGTGTAAAAAAAAGTCTTCTGTTCTCTAGATGTTACAGACAAGGCCCGCATCCTCCACCACCTGAAGAAGATGACATAGTCTGGGATCGTGTCTTTAATTCAGACAGAAGACATGTTTTATTGTCGATGGTAGAGACAGCACGAACACGAACACACGATCACAGATACAAGAGAATGCAAGTGTATTATACAGAGCGGAGGCATGGACACCCCCAATCAGCAGCTGCCACGGTGCCATGTAGCTTGGCCTTCAGATAGACAAAACAAGGGAAGAGTACTGGCTTCTGCACATTGATAGAATGATGAGTTTAACTTTAACAAAAGTTGCTTAAAAGTGTTATGAAATCTCACATTTATAATCCGAGAGTCCGAGACATTCTTCCCCAGACGTACTCGCACTCACCATAGACTTTGAAATTGCATTGAAACCCGACACAACGCATGATCCGGTCTGAACGCGCCTACTCATTATTACTGTAGGAGCCATAAATTGAATATAACAGTGGGCTGTGATTTGATTGGGTGATATGCCGGGTGTGGGTCACGTGGTTACTGGGGCGGTGTCTACTTAGTTCTCACTCT